GTGGCTGGGAATTTGAGGACACTGGACACCCAGGCGTCAACCCTCTGGCCTGAGACGTGTGCCTTCTAACCAAGGCATGCAGCTTCCCAGGACATCCCAGCAGGCGGCCGGGAGTCCCTGCCCCATTTTACAGTTGACGAAGCCAAGGTGCCGTGTGACAAGTTTCCCCACGTTCACATGTCTGAATCTTTGCTTTGGGCTGGCTCAGCCCCTTTAACCCCTTTATGCCTCGGTTTCCCTACGTTTCACTATAAGGCTTAGACCCTCCTCCACTTATCCAGCTGAAGCGAAGGAGCATCAGTGTGACACCCCTAAGGAGAGGGGCGCTATCTACTCACCCTGCATTCTCAGCCTGGCTCTCAGAACTACGGAGATTCTGGCACTTCCTCGCAAGCCTTTCCCAGAACCCGCCAAATCTCTCTCCTTTCTTCCCACCCCCTCCCTCCTCGTCACCCCTCTGCCTCCTGTGACTTCCACTGGCTGCGCATCCAGCTGATCCATGACCAAGATAATCAGATTATCGTGGGTCCAGAATAATCTATTCCATATGGCTTGCCAACTCGGTGGCTCCTGGAACTAAAGGTGTGAGGAGAGGGGGTGATCTCAGTTGGAAGAGGCTCCCTGGGAGCCTCGGGGGCCTTAGCTGGGAGGCTGATGGGGAAGGAGGGAAGTGGACAACAGGTTGGGAGCCTTCCTGCTAGGCCCTCTGACTGCCCTGGGCTCCAGGTGGCCAGAGCCCCCTCTCCAGACCAAGCACGGCCTCATCTATCCGAGACCCAAGGGGACTTAGGATCTGGGGCGGGAGGCTGGGCACTCCCTCGTGCCTTTTCCACTCTCTGGATTGGGGGGTGGGTTCATTATAGGGCACTGCTTCTCTCAACAGTGCCCAAGCTTCATAGTGCTGGGGAGATTTTACCTTTCATAGCCAGATTCTCTGGCTCCACCCTCGAGCGATTCTGGTTCAGCAGGTCCAGGTGGGTCTGGAACACTTTTCTTTGACACCCCCACAGGTCCCTGTGGCTGTAGCAAGGTTTCATGGGGTTCCGGGGCATCGCCCCCACCCTGCACCTCACTCTGGGGGCAGCCCTCCAGGAGGAAAGGAGCCCCTCGGGTCCTCCAGAGGAGACGGGGGAGGGGGTGGGGAGGACAGAACACAGGCTTGGGCCCCAGACAGAGCCAAACAGACCCCAGGTCTGCTCCTACTAGCTCTGTGACGTAGAACAACCTCTCTGCACCTCCACTTCCTCATCTACAAACGACAGTGACACTCATGTCACAGCGTAGTTGTAAGCTGTGACCCGGCGAAGCCCCAGCACAGTGCCAGGCCCCAAGCGACAGCAGCCAGCAGGCATGCAGCGCTGCGGGAAGCACGGTCTGTGCAGTGTGATTTGGTCCTCATGATGTCAGCACAGTAGGTGTTGCTCACCCCGAGGCTTGGAAGCAGAAGCTGGGACCCAGAGATGGAGAGCGAGTTACCCACGTGACACAGGTGGTACGTGGCAGGACAGGGATTCCATCTTAACCCACATTGGCCACACTCCTGAGGGGTGTCCCAGGCTGTCTAAAGGTGGGGGCGTCATAGATAACAATCGCTCCCCTGAAAGGGCTTGCCTCTCAGCCTGGTGCCGAGGTGTGGCGGGGAGATCCTTGGTGGTAGGGGACACCCAAATTAGGAGCTTTCCAGGAGATGTGCCTGTTGATGCTAAGCAGGCTGGCAGTAGGAAAGGAGCTGCTTCCTTCTCCTGGGGCCTCTGGCTCCGGTGGGGACAGGATTAGGGCCTGTGAGGGGAGTATTGACATAGCACCTTTGATTAGCACTCCCATGTCAGAGGGGCTGGCCGGGAAATGAGGGCATTGAGGCTGGGAGGCGGGAGGGGGCAGTGCCCAGGACCCAGGCTTGGCCTGAGGAAGCCAGCTGGATCCTAGCAGGAAGGCTGAGACTCAGGCCCCAGCCTGAGAGGGTGCCGCCCTGTCCTGCCTGCCCCCACCCGGGGCCAAGGACTCCAACCGAACTCTCACCTCTGCTCGGTGGGGCTACCCCAAGGCCTCATTTCCCAGCCTTACACATTGGCAGACTCAGGCAGGCTCAGGCCAGGGGAGCCGGAGCCACTGGCCCCGGCACTTGTCAAAACACAGGCCCCAGAGGTGTGAAGTCCTCACCCCAGCAGGAGGGTGTGTGGGCCCTGCTGCCTGGAGAACTCGGAGAACTCGTTAACTCGGAGGCTCCCAAATGAAGCCACCGAGAGGCTAGTGATAAGGAGATCAAAGGCAAGAGGCATGGAGGACGGGAAAGGGGAGGCCGGCAAAGGGGAGGCCAGCTGACAGAGTGGTAGGGCCCAGGCTCCAGGCTGGGGGTCCCTCCTCTGCCCCCACCTTGCTCCATCAGGCCCACGGACCAAAGCCTTTGCACAAACTGGGCCCAGAGACCCCAGGGGCAACAGGAGAGGCAACTCCCATGTGGCACCTCCAATTTGTCAGCCTTTGAAGACCCCAAGGTTGGGGTTGGGGGTGGAATCCTCCCATCTGCCCCACCTCTCTTATGCCATTTTTGTGGGTTCTTTGCCTCCACACTCGCCCCCTGCATCTTTTTAACCCTCTCTCAGCCCTGACACCAGAGATCCTCCTGTCATGCGCGGCTCATGTGTCGCTCTCCTGCTCCAGATCTCTCAGTGGCTCCCGTGTGAGTGCCCAATGAAAGTCACCATTAGGTCCCAGACCTGATAATCCTCAGAGGCCAGAGCTGTGTTTTCAGGATAAACAGTTGGGCTCCCACACATCTTGCCTCTTGTCCAAAAAATGTCTAGTTGATTTTGTACTTAATAAAACAAGAACTCATTTCAGAGCATTGTTACCAACAAACCAGTATTGGTGGCTTCCTCTGGAGGGGGAACTGGAGGCAGGATGGTAAAGAGATTTGTTATACCTTCTGTACTGGTTGACTTTTTGACTTTTTAACCATGTGCATGTATTATATTTTCAAATAAATAAAGATACGACAATAAAACAAAAGGGTGGCTGATTGCCTAGGAGTTTTTGGTCATTTTGAGTTTTCTCAATTAATTAGCTACAAAGTGGAAATCAGAATCACGCAAGAATTGGAAGATTTTTTGACATTCAGAAGGCTGGCAACAGAGCGTCCAGAGCGCTGAGATCCCGCCCTCCTGCCTGTCCAGCCTTTACCTTGCATTCCCTCTCACTTGGGTGCACAACACACTCTACCCATTCCTGACCGTTTGTTCCCTCGGGTCCAATGGAATCAAAGGGGCCCAAGTCACTGGGCTCAATGCCAGGTTCTGGGCTTGGATCTGGAGCCCCAGGAAGCCCTCCATCGGCCAAGGTCCAGAAGGGGCAGACCCTGCTGACAGCTGCAAGCTGAGGAGGGCCGTCCTGGCCAGGCTCTCCTTGGGAGTAGATGGGTCCTACAGCATGTGCCCAGGGAGTGAGTTCCTCCCCTTCTCCTCAAGGGTGGGTTGGCACTGCCTCTCCTGGATGTGATGGTGGGCATAAGCATTCCGGGGTGCTGGGACAGACTGTGGAGGAGGGGGTATAGAAGGTGTTAGAGGAGGCCAAGGGCAGTAAAAGATAAAAGAGACAAGGGGAGGAGGCGGTGGTGCCCAGGGAGAAGGTACCAAGCCACTTGGCCTTCTTGGCTGCAAACCAGCTCAGCCATCAGTCTCACAGGGCTGGAAGCCAGGGGGGATGCAAAACATTAGACCCACGGCACTGAAAGAGACCCTAGATACCACTTCTCTTGAAGACATGCTGCCAGACACCAGGTACTTCAGTCTGGCTGGAGAACAGACATTCATGCATGAAGTAGCGATTATAACAAGGTGCAAACTCACACCCCTGAGGAGTCAGGCAAACAGTGTAGATTCTCTGAGATTTCCTATGTGGACAACCATGTTGTCTGAAATGAGATAGTCTTATTTCTCCGTTTTCAATCTGTATGCCTTTTAGTTCTCTTTCCTTAGTGCACAAGCTAGATCCTCTAGCATAATGTTGAATAGGCATGGGTGGGAGCAGACATCCTCGCCTTGCTCTCTGTGTCCGGAGAAAGCTCTCAGTCTTTCGCTATTTAGTATGATGTTAGCTGTAGGCTCTTTGTAGATGCCTTTTATCAGGTTGAGAAAGTTCCCTTCTATTCCTAGTTTCCTGAGAATTTTTATCATGAAAGTGTGTTGAAATTTGTTAAATGCTTTTTCTGTGTCGTTTCCACTCAGATTTCTTTGGCACAGCCTGTTATACCTGCCCCAAAGTGCAGAATACTGGCTAGAGGCCAGTGTTGGCAGCTGTGGCAACAGGCCAAGCCCTTGATCCCACCAGGCAGAGGATGTCCTGGGGGGCAGCAGGCTCCCCCCTCGGCTCAGATGGTCCAGCAACCTGACCAGATTCGGCCAGCTTGTTGGATTTTCCTGGGATAGCTTCCTCATAATGTCCTGCCCGCCCACCAGGGAAGGGCGCATCCAGGACCAGCCTGCTTCAGAGGAGGAACAGATTACTGCTCCTCTCACCTCCAGCGCTAATCAGGGCCCCACTCCCGGTCCCCAACTAATTCTACAGACCTGGCTGCAGCATGCTCCGAGGTTCCCATTATACACATTGGAAACAAAGATGCAAGAAAATTTAAGAATTTGCTTAAGGTCCCCAGCAGGTGAAGGCAGCCCCAAACCTAGGTCCTGGACTTCCAGCTCCCTGACCTCGCTTCCTTTAACCTGCAGAGCTGGCCGGGCAGCCCCGGGCAGCGCTGGTCTGAGGCGCAGGCAGGAGGCCCAAGTGGCTGGGTCAGGTGCCCACGCGAGGGTCCAGGTGGGGCCGACCTGGCGCAGCCAACGGGCAGGCACCTTCGCCCCCCGTCGGTTCAAAGGGTCAGGTTCCGCCCCCTCCAGGCCCCGAGCCCGCTTTGAAGTGCTGATGCGGCCTGGAAGGGGCCACTTGACACCTCGGGGTCGGGATAAAGCCGTCGCCGGCCGCCGGCCCCCAGACACGCCGCCGCTGCCATGGCCCAGTCCCTGTGCCCGCCGCTCTCCGAGGCCTGGATGCTCTCCGCGGGCTGGGGCCCTGCCCGGCCGCCGCCGCCGGCCTCCGACGGGGACTGCGGCTGCTCCCCCGCCTCGTCCTCTCTCAGCCCTGACACCAGAGATCCTCCTGTCA